ACTGAGCCACCCAGGCGCCCCTAGATTTATTTATTTTTAAAGATTTATTTATTTTAGAGCATGCGAGCATGTGCAAGTGGGGGGGAGGGGCAGAGAGAGGGAGAATCCTTGAGCAGACTCCTCGCTGAGTGGGGGGCCTGACGTGGGACTTGATCCCAGGATCCCAAGATTATGACCTGAGCAGAAATCAAGAGTCAGCCACTCAACTGACTGAGCCACCCAGGAGCCCCTATTTATTTATTTGAGGGAGAGAGAGAGTGTGAGCACGTGAGCTTGGAGGGTGGGATAGAGAGGAGAGGGGGAGAAGCAGGCTCCCTGCTGAGCATGGAGCCCAACACATGGCTCTCATGAACCTAAGATCATGACCTGAGCCGAAACCAAGAGTCAGTTGTTTAACCAACTGAGCCACCCAGGCATCCCTATATGTATATACTTAAATTGAAGTATAAGTGGAGTATAATTGATGTACAACATCCTATTAGTTTCAGGTGTACATCATAGTGATTCAGTATTTTTATACATTACAAAATGATCCCATGATAAATCTAGTTACCATCTGTTACCCTACAAAGTTCTTTCAATATTGGCTGTTATCAAAAAGACAAAAAATGTATGTATTAGTTTTTAAAAAAAGTATTTGAATTTCTTTTTATATGTAATGTTAATTCATTATCAGACTGATACTCTTGAGGTAGAATAATGTCTTTCTTAAATTTAGATTGGTTTCATCTGGAAAGTTAAGCCAAATATAATTTTTGTTGTTATTAGAAACATTTTAATAGTACCAATGTTTATAATATTTTTGGCTCTTAGTGTTAATAGCTAGCTAATGTTTTTTGCTGCTGAAGGCCTTTTGTGAAGTTCAATATTATGACCTATTTTATAGGTGACAGTGCTCGATCTCAGGTTTTGAGAGAGAAAGTTATTGAATTGGAAACAGAAATAGAAAAATTTAAAGCTGAGAACACATCTTTAACTAAACTTCGCATTGAACGGAAAAATGCCTTGGAAAAACTTAGGTAAGTTAGTATCTGTAAGTTGGGAAAAAATATAGTGATTCAGTTTTCAATTAGCAATAATCGCGCCTCGGATAAACCTCATTGGCTACGATACTGCCACTGCGCAAAGCTTAGTGATTCAGTTTTATCTTCAAGATTATACTATAAGATGAATAAGATCTGAGGATCTAATGTATAACATGGTAATGGTAATTGATAACAGTGTATTTGTATAATTGCAATTTGCTAAGAATGTAGAACTTAAATGTTCTCGCCAAAAAAAAAAAAAAGGTAAATGTGAGGTGATGGGAGTGTTAATTAACTGAATGGGGAAATTCTTTCACAACACATCACATAAATGTTCCTTACTTGTTGTTTTTGTGTGTATATATTTTAGTTGTATTATATGTTAGTTGGTTAAAATATAAATGCATATGAGGCAAAAAAAAGATTATATATAAAATATTTGAAGTAATTTTTGTCAGTCCAACAAGATAAAGGAAAAGGAAGTGAAATCTTTCTTTTTTTTTGAAATCTTAACCACATAAAATTTTTTAATTAAAATGACCCATTATAGTCAGAAATGAGTTAAAAAGGGAATTCTCTTAGTGAGGAGATCATAAATTGAATTTTGAAGCTGTGAATTCACGTGCTACCTTGGCCAGTGCATTAATTTTCTAGGGCTACTGTAACAAAGTACAGTTGATCCTGAACAATGGGGGGTAGGGGCTCCATCCCCCTATACAGCCAAAAAGCCACATATAATTCTTGACTCCCTAAAAACTTAACTACTAATAGTGTACTGTTGCCGGGAAGTCTTACCGATAACAAACAGTTGATTAACACATGGTTTGTTTCATGTGTAAGATAGGTAATTCTTATAATAAAGTAAGGTAGAGAAAAAATGTTAAGAAAGTCATAAGGAAGAGAAAATACATTTACAGTACCGTACTGTAAAAATTTGTATATAAGTGGATCCATGCAGTTCAAACCCCTGTTGTTCAAGGATCAACTGTACACACAAACTAAGTGGCTTAAAACAATAGGAATTTACTTCGTCATGGTTCTGGAGGCTAGAAGTCTGAAGTCAAGGCATCAGCAGAGCTATGCTTTCTATCCTATCTTATAGTGGTTGCTGTCAGTCCTTGACATTTCTTGGCTTACAGCTGGACATTGGGGTTGTTTCTACCTTTTGGTTATTGTGGAATCTCTTTGTTGAACTTCTTGTTTTTTTTTCCATGTCTTATTTTCCTGATTTTGTTGTTTATCTGTGTTCTCTTGTAGTTTGCTGAGCTGCTTTAAAACAGTTATTTTGAGGGGCGCCTGGGTGGCTCAGTCATTAAGCGTCTGCCTTCGGCTCAGGTCATGATCCTGGGGTCCTGGGATCGAGCACCCGCATCGGGCTCTCTGCTCCGCGGGAAGCCTGCTTCTCCCTCTCCTGCTCTCCCTGCTTGTGTTCGCTCTTTTGCTGTGTCTCTCTCTGTCAAATAAATAAATAAAATCTTAAAAAAACCACAAAACAGTTATTTTGATTGTCAGGCAATTCTTAGATCTGCATTTCTTTGGGCTTGGTCGCTGGAGCTTTATTAGTTTCCTTTGGTGGTGTCACATTTGCCTGATTCTTGTGTAGCCTTGTGTTGACATTTTTTCATTTGAAAGGGTAGAAATCTCTGTCTTTACAGACCAGTTTTGGCAGGTAAAGACCTTTTCCAAGCGGATCCCTGGACTGATGGCCTGATTCTAGGATCACAGTTGAATGGGATTTAGTGTGGCTACTGCTGGGTCCACACTGGAGTCCGTAATTGGTGGGTCTCTTCACAGGGGCATGGTGGATGTGGTTCCTACTAGATCCCCAGTTGAACAGGACTGCTTGTAGGACCACAGTCCAGCAGTGCTGGAGCTAGTCATGGGGCTGCTTCTAGGTCCACTGTTGAGTGTGCAGACAGTGGGTCTGTTACGAGGGGTGAGAATGGGTGTGGCTCCTGCCAGGTTTTTGAGCATCCTCCTGCTGGCCTCTTGGTGTCCTCCTGCTGGGTCCCTGCTCACCCAGGGATACAGCAGGGCTAGCGCCAGGTTACAGGACTGTTTCAGATTTCGTAGTTATGACTGAGGTCTGTGGGCCTGTTACCAGGGACACAGATGGGTGTGGCTCCTCCTGGGTCCTTTGGCAGATGGGCTTGGGGTTTCTCAACTTCCTACCTGGATGGTAGAGCTCCCACAAAAGTACTTTTATCTGTGTATGGCTTTCAGCTTCTTGTTTGTGTAGGGAGATGTGAGCTGGGGATCTCCTGTTCCACCATTTTGATATGTCACTCTCCCTGATCAACATTCTCCTAAGTTAAGACACCAAAGTCCTGACACTGGTCTATAAGACCCTAATTCATTTGTCCCTCTCTTTTGTTTGTGTGGTGTTTTTTGTATTTGTTTTTTTGACGGTTTTTCCTACTTTTCTGTCTCATGCTCACTCTGTTTTATCCACCCTGGCCTCCTAGCTGATCTTCGATCACATCAGGCATATTCCTACCTCAGGGCTTTTGCATGTGGTGCTCCCTCTTTCTGAGCTGTTTTGTCCAGATATTCTTATGGCTCTTCTCTCAGTTCCTTCAGGTTTTACTTAAAATACTATCTCAGCAAGATGACCCCATCCATAATTTCAATCTCCCTGATATTTCCTACCCTCATTCCTTGCATTATTTTTCTCCTTCTAATGTGCCATATATTTTATCTTGTTATTGTCTGTCTCTTCCATTAGATTGAGAAGCTCCAAGAAAGTAAGGATGTTTATTTTTTTCACTGTGGTTTCTCCAGTACCCAGGGTAGTGTGTGATTCATAGTAGGTGCTCAATGAATATTTGTTGGAGGAATGCTTTATAGAGTTAACTGACAGTTTATTTCAGTACTATGGATTGAAGATGGATTCACCAAGACCAGCAGCTCCTCCATTCCAGGCTGTCACTGATGTTCCATTTGGTACCACATGTGGATTAGTCCATTAAGATGGTCCCTTTAAATGATAACATGGTTTGGTCATTTTAGGAAAGAAATTACAGACTTTGAACAACAGAAAGCAAAAGAATTGGCTCGAATAGAAGAGTTTAAAAAGGAGGAAATGAGGAAGCTACAAAAGGAACGCAAAGTTTTTGAAAAGTATACTGCAGTTGCAAGAACTTTTCCAGATAAAAAAGAACGTGAAGAAATACAGGTATGCCAGTTCGTTATGTTATACTTATGTAAGTTAGTAAGGATGACAATTTTGTAAGAATCTCAGAGTTATATGATGTGTCAAAGAGAAATGGGGTGTCAATTTTTTTAAACATTTTTTTAAAAAAATTATTTTTTTGAGAGCAGAGAGAGGGGCAGAGGGAGAGGAAGAAATTCCTTAAGCAGACTCCCTGCTGAGTGTGGAGCCCAACATGGGGCTCGATTTCAGGACCCTGAGAACGTGATCTGAGCTGAAGTCCAGAAGCAGATGCTTAACCAGCTGAGCCACCCAGGGGCCCCTGGGTATCAATTTATTAATCATCCATTGACTCAATAAGTAATCTGAGACTGCATGAGGAACATTTTTTGTAGTCTGAGTTTTAAAGAGTAAAATATATCAGTTCTTTTCTTACTAAAGGCTTCCAAAAAGAAAAAAAAAAAAGACTACAGTAATGCCATGGATGAATTAATAAGCCAAGAGTTGGAAATTCACCAGCATCATGTTGTGTTGATCTGATTGACACCCCTTACACCAAATACTGTTACTTCTAGTCATTTATACAGATTTAAGGCCCCTGTACTAACAGAGTGTTTAATTTTAAAACTTATCAACTGATAGGCCAAATAATCAGTCCTATTTATTTCAAAGTTAGAATGGACAGAATCAGAGGAATGTAGTAGTTAAAAATAACCACTGCAGGGGCACCTGGGTGGCTTAGTCAGTTAAACGTCCTGACTCTTGGTTTTGGCTCGGGTCCTGAGATTGAGTCCCACATCAGGCTCCGCACTTTGCATGGAGTCTGCTCCAGTTTCTCTCTCTGTCTCCCTCTGCCCCTCTCCCCCCATGCTCTCTTTCACTCTCTCTCTAAAATAAAAATAAATAAGTCTTTAAAATAAATAAAAATAACTAATGCATTTCTAGTTAAAACTGTAAACTTTCTAGAAAAAAACATAGGTGAATATATTTGTGACATTGGCATATGCAAAGATTTCTAAGAGAGGACACAAAGAACTAAGTATAAAGAAAACACGGACATACTGAACTTCATTACAAGTAATACTTCAGGGGCGCCTGGGTGGCTCAGTTGGTTAAACAACTGCCTTCGGCTCAGGTCATGATCCTGGAGTCCCAGGATTGAGCCCCGCGTCGGGCTCCTTGCTCATTGGGGAACCTGCTTCTCCCTCTGCCTCTGCCCCTTCCCCTTGCTCCTGCTCTCTCTCGCTCACTCTCTCTCTCAAATAAATAAATAAAATCTTAAAAAGAAAAAAAAACCAAAACAAGTAAAACTTCAACTTATCAAACGGAAAATTTTAAATGGCTTTCCATTGCTTATGGCATAAAATGCAAACTTCCATATTTTAGATACTAGTATTTTTGGGGTGCCTGGGTGGCTCAGTTGGTTAAGCATCCAACTCTTGATCTCAGCTCAGGTCTTGATCTCAGGGTTGTGAGTTCAAGCCCTGCACTGGGCTCCATACAGGGTATGGAGCCTACTTAAAAAAAAAAAAAAAGTAAATACTAGTAAGATTGAGTCCCAGCCTCTGTTTTCTCCCCTCTCGTGTAGTATACCCTCTTTGAGCAAGCTCATCTGCATACCTAAAGCTTAAGTTACCACGTGCCATGTCAGTTAGGGTCTTTAATTCTGTTTATTTTTGTGGGAAGAAACATGTGCTGTTATGTTTTGGTTAATGCTCAGTTTATTGAATCTAGTATGTTAGGTATTAAGAATCTTTTTCATAGTTTTGGAACTCATTCCTGAATGCTCTTTCTACTTTGATAGTGTTGACTTAAGCATTGGACCCCTTTCAGACTTGATTATTTTGTGTGACAGTGGGTATTCATTATTTCTTTCTGTTTTTGTTACACTTTCTCTTTTTCTTATACTATGCAAATACTACTTCAGAAACAGATATATACTTAATAGAAAACAAACCTGTATTTATTGCTACTCTTCTACTTATTAAATTGTTAAAAGAACAGAGATGGTATATTCAATCTTCTTTTATATTATAGTTATTTTTAAAAGTATTAACTCTTCTTTCGGGTGTTCATTCCATCAACACATTGATTTGAGAACCCTTTATGATGAGCACGGGGGAATTGTTGATGAAGAAGATATTTCTGTCCTCCTGGAATTTACATTCATCGTTATTGATTTATAGCCTTTTACAGATTCAAGTTACTCTAATTAATTACAAAATTTCCTTTTTGATAAACAAGTAGCCCCAATTTGGCCGGTGGGAGCTTCCTTGTCCTTCAGCTTTGCCATTGCCCTTAGATGTTTGAAATTATCCCTGCTTTCTCTAACAACTGGTTATTTCAGATCACCTGGTTTTTTGCTTTTGTTTTTCTTCAACCTACCCCACATCTGAAATCAGCCATTGTCCAAAGAGCCCTACTAGGGAGCTGACGGGCGTCAGCAGCAGTGGGGTCCTTGCTGTTGGTGCCTGTCGGAGTGGCACCGCTGGGGAAGGGTGATGTCTTTCTGAAGTCATGAGTTCACGCTGATTCTTTTATCTTAATCTTGTAACTTTATTCTAATTTTCATGCAGTGAGTTTTCATTGACCATTTACACATGGATGTTCAGTCAGATCTCTGCTGAGTTACCAACCTGTGTATCTGTTTCTTCACTCAGAAGATATTTGAGGGGCAGGATCTATGAGGTGCTGTGTAGTGAGCTGGTTAGCTCTGTATGTTTCAAACTTAACTTACCCTCTTTCTGCTAAATCTGCCTTTTCTTTTGACTTTTTCCCCATTCACACTTGGGATAAAAAGAGGTCTAGACCTTTTCCATCTTCAAATTCCATCAGTAATAATTTCTTTTGACTTTATCTTCTGCATATCTTTTTTATCCTGACCCTTTCTCTTCCTCTTCTTCACACATATTCATTCTAGCTGTTATTTTTTAAATCCTATTTTCTAGCCTTTTGTGACCAAGCATATTAATATTTTTCACTCCCTTTATTACTCTAATCTTTCGGTCCCCTTAGGACCTTCCAATTCATTGGTTTTCCCCACCCTCTTATGTCCTTAAACCCCAGAGTCAGTCACTCTAATCATTTCTGTAAGTGTATTCTTTATTCCCTTTCTCAAGTCATGATATTTTGTTGGCAAGACTGTAAGCCTGGCATTTCCTGCCTACTTCATCTTTGTGCCTGTAACACTTAGTTTAGCTGGAAGAAAAATTTAATGGGAAACAAGCTCATTTTAAAGTCATGAGCACAAACCATGAGTGGGCCTATATTGTTTCTATTTTCCCTTCTCTCCCACTCTTCCATTCCATACTCTGCCCTCCCCCCACCTTCTCAAACTTCCCTACTCCCTGAAGACCCTGCTTTCTACATGGCTGAGAACTTCCCACTGATCCTACTCTTGGTCTTGCCTTGGTGTCTGAGCCCATGTGCTCTGCCTCTGTCTGTTGCTTAGATGAACTGTCCGTGCTTATGGGGAAGCCCTGCTTATATACCAGGTCTCACCCCTTCACTGCCTACAGCCCTGCTCCAGCATTTCTTGTTTCTCTAACACCATCCATTTTCCACTCAACTGAACCTTGTCATCAGTGTACACACTTGCTCTTCTTAAAATCTCTCTTGCCCGCATACTCCTCGGTCACAAGGGCTGTTTCTTTGTTTCTTTGTAGCAAAACTTCTTGAAAGTGTTGTCTGTTTCACCATCTCCCATCTCAGCTCCTGTTCTCTCTCCACATGCTTCCGTCCACACCACTGCCCTGAAAACTCCCCTGTTTTGGTCCCCAGCCTCTCCCTGATGGGGAGCTCGCAGTCCTCCTGTGACTTGGCCTCCAGCAGCACACGACTGCTCATCAGAGCTTTCATTCGTTTGACACGCAGGAGACCTGGTGCTCTGGGTTTCCCCCTTACCTGGCTGGTGCCTTGCCTCGTCCCCTTTTGCTTTTTCCTTGTCTTTAACTTAATGGTGGAGGCCACCCAGCAGGGAGGATGATCTCCTCTAGTTTCATGCCTTCAGTTAGGATTCATATGCTAAAGACTTCCACATTTAAATCCTGCCTGGACCTGCTCGATGTGCTGGTCTGGTCTGTCTGACCAGCTACTGGATAGTTCACCTCCATGTGTCTCCAAATGAACTTCTGCACTTCCCTTCCCCAGCCTTCTCCATCTCGGGTGGCAGCATCCCTGACCTTCCACGTGCTCAGGCCAGAAACCTAGGAGTGTTCTCTTCTCTTTCTCTCACACTGCTTGCTCTTCTGTCAGAAAACGTACCCAGACTTGAGTTGCCATCTCTGAGTTAAAGGACTGGCTGGCCACAGCTCTGCTCCCGCCCTGTCTTTTCCATGAGTTGTTTACCATGTAGCAGCCAGTGATTCTTCTGGAAAGACACCAGGTCTCGTCCCTTCTCTGCCCATGGCCCTTTAATGGCTCCACTTTTTTCTTATAATAAAAGCCCCAGTCCTTACAATGGGCCTCAAATTCCTATATAATCTGATGTTCTTTCACCTTTTTCCCTCTGTGTCATTCGTTCTGCCCCAGCTCACTGGCCTGCTTGCTGTTCTGCGACTGTGCCCAGGCACCCTCCTCCCTGGTGTATTTACTGGTGCTTCTGGGAATGCTCTTCTCCTGAACAGCCACGTGGCTCACAGTGAGCCTCCTTCAGGTCTCTGTTCAGTGAGACCTGCCATATTGAATACTGCAGCTTCCCTTCCCTGCATATGCTCCCTTCCCCGCAATACTGCTTTCTTCTGCCTGCCTTGCCTTTTCTTCCCTAGGCCCTGTCCCCTTCAACACAAGTCTCCTTGCAATCTTTGTTTTGTTCTTTGTATTCCAGGGACCCAGAACAGTACCTGGTAGTAGGTATTTTATAAATATTAATTGCTGTTGAATGATTTTTTAGCCTTATTGAGGAATAATTGAAAAATATAAGCATGTATATTTAAAATGTACAGTGTAATGATTTTATATACATAGCAAGATCAAGATGGTAACACATCCATCACCTTACATAGTTAACTCTTTGTGTGGGTGTGCGTGCTGAGAATGCTTAAGAATCTGCTCTCAGCAACATCTGCTCTCAGCAACAACATCTGCTCTCAGTGTACACCACCGTATTATTACTGTAGTCACCATGTTGTACGCTGCTCCTCAGAACTTATTCGTCTTATAACTGTGGGCTTGTATCCTTTGACCTTCATCTCCCCATTTCCCTTTCCCCCAGCCCCTGGCAACCACCATTCTGTTGTTTCTATAAAGTTGGCTTTTTTCTTTTTTTCTCTAAGATTCCCCATATAAGTGATACCATACAGTATTTGTCTTTCTCTGTTTGGCTTATTTGCTTTTGAATTCTTAACCTATTTAGACTTACGTGTTACCATTTTAATATTAATAAGTCTCTTTGCCCACATGATGATAATGCTTACCAGCTAGAAATTGCTCATTTATTGGTTATACTCCACAATTTTATAAATAGGGAGGCTGATGTTTAGGGAGGTTAATACCTTCTTTGAAGAGCTTTTAAGACACGGAACTGGGATTTGAGCGTTGATCTCACCCAAACCCAGAGTCCATGCTCCCTGTGATGTGACCACCTCCCAAGGGAGGTCCTTCCAGCCCTAGTCTCTTTCTGTAACGGGGTTGCTTTTTTGGCAGTCATGAGGCTTACATGAAAATGGATAGACGTCAAGTTTTACATGTGTATTAATGAGCTGCTTAGGGCTCCTCACTTCCCTTAGGCTCATATCAGGTAAGGTTCTCAGGTGGTGAGCAATGAGGTCTTGCTTCCACCCATGCTCCTTCCTCAGCTCTCAGGCACTCCTCATATCTTGCACCCACATAAGCCATGTAGGTGACTAATTTTTCCTTAGTTTTGACATTAATCTTGATTTTTGTTTGTATAATTGCAAATTGCTTCTAGATATTTCCAGGAGTTTCTTCACATTTGTCATTTAGTGCATCTGAAACAAATCATTTTCTTAAAACCAGTTTCTTCTCATGAATTCCAAGTAGAATCTGTTTTCAGGACTGATGGTTTGACTTTGAGTCTTTTAATCATCCCTTTACCTTAACTCTTCCTTCAGTTAGTCATAAATTCCTATTAGTTTTTTCTTTATCCGATAATCCCCAATTTATCTTTTTTTCTATTTCAGTAGCTTAGTATAGACCTTTATTACCTCATGACAGTGTTATTGCAGTGAACTCCTAAGTGGTGCCTGCCTCCTTCTGGAATCAGTTTTGTTGATGGTATAAGGTGAGTCTCTAACCTGAACCCCAGTCCCTTTCATGAAGAACTTGGTATTTTTGAAATGTGATTGACCAAGCCTTCCCTTTTCTGCTGTCTGTGCTAGGACAGTACTTCTGTTTTGTTCGTGTGTCTCTTTTCTTCTATTGCATTGTTTTAATCCTAGGTTGTTTTTTTGTTTTTTGTTTTTTTTTGAGAGGCTTTGAAACAGCAGATAGCAGATTTACAGGAAGATTTGAAAAGAAAGGAAGCAAAATGGTCAAGTACACATGGCCGTCTTAGAAGCCAGATAGAAATGTTGGTCAGAGAGAACACAGACCTCAGGGAAGAAATAAAAGTGATGGAAAGATTCCGACTAGATGCCTGGAAGAAAGCAGAAGCTACTGAGAACAGCCTCAGGACAGGTCCCTGTGTGCCTGCCGCAAAAAAAGATGGGCCCGTGGTAGGTTTGGAGCCGGTTTTGTCAAGTCAGGGAGATGTTAAATATCTGAGCGCTCAAATTTATAGAGCCGAAAAGTAGAGGGTAGTTGCCAGGGCTGGGGGTAGGGGTGGGAATGGGAAGTTGCTCTTTAATGGGGACAGAGTTTCAGTTTTGCAAGAGGAAAAGAGTACTGGATGTGCCTCATGCCACTGACCTGTACGCTTAACAGTGGTTACGAAGGTGAGTTTTACGTATTTTTTACCACAATTGAAAAATTCTTTTGAGCGTTGCTGTGCAGTTTTCAAATTCATTTTTAGAATTCTTTTAAAAGAATTATAGTATAGTAGGCAGATAATCTTAGTTAAAACAGGCCAAGTGAAATTTTTTTGCAGCACATCACATGCATATGATCCTTTTGAATCAAATAATTGGTCTTTCATTCATCTATATTCACAATTATGATGTGCCAGACGCTGATTTTGGGTAGTGGGAATAAGACAATTAACAAAATAGATGAACTTCCTTGCCCTCTTGGAATTTATATTCTAGTGGTGGGAGGTTTATAAATAAGATAGATAATAAAATAAATATATGGTGTGTGACATAGTGACAAGAACCAAGGAGAAAAAGCAGGGAAGGGGGATGATAACTGTTGAGGTGGGGGGTGTTGCTGTTTTAGACAGGGTGGCCAAGGAAAGCCTTACTAAAAAAGTGATATTTGAATAATGGCCCGCATTATTAAATATATTAATTTAAATATGTATAATTATTATATATTAAATATAAATATAATAAAGGGGTGCAGATAAGCCTGGGTGAGAGCAGAGCCCGAGAGGAGCCCGAGGCCCAGAGGCTCTCTGCCTGGTGGGCCTGAGCATGAGCATGGCCTGCGGCTGGTGGAGCTAGAGCAGAGTAAGTGGGGAGAATGGTAGGGGATGCGACCGGAGATGTGACAGAGGGAGCTGGGTGCAGAGTACCTTAGGGCCTTAATCAGTTCCTGTAAGCCCTTGGGTGTTTCCTCTGAGAAGGGGAGCGCTTGGAGGGCTGTGATTGGAGTTGACTTAATCTTTTGTTTTAGTAAGCTTACTTTGTCTGCTGTCTACTGTAGACTGAACAGGGAGTGGAGGGGCATACACACAATTCGGAACACCAGTTAGGAGACCGTTGGAGTAATTCACACCAGAGAGAACAGTGGCTTAAGACTGGGGGAGCAGCAGTGGAGTGCTGAGAAGTGGACGGGATTTATTGATGAGCTGGATATGGGGTATGACAGCCAGGAAGGTGTCAAAAATAGTTTCCAACTTTATTGTAGTGTTTTGACATAATAGGGTTTCCATTTATTGTAAGACACAAGAAGAGAGCATGTATTTATTTCTTGGAGGCATGGATATTAGGATCTCAGCTTTAGAAATGCCTGTGGAGAAGTTAACTGGAGAAGTTTGGAGGAGAAGTTTGAAAACGTGGAGATGTTAACTGGGCAGTTATGCACATATCAGGAGAAGGTTAGGTTGAAGCTAGAAGTTTGGGGTTCATCAGGATGTGTGGTAAAGCTTTGGGCTGGCAGAGATCATCAACGCTGAAAGTGTGGGTAGTGAAGAGATCCACACACTGAGCCAGAGTGTGAGAAGATGGGATGAGGAGAATGGTTAGCCAGAGAGGATAGAGTAAAGGAGGCCAGTGTGGTGTCCTGAGAACCAAGAAAAGAAAGGACTTCTAGGAGAAGAGAGTGGCCAGTGGTGTCAAAGGCTGCTGCTAAATTAGATGAGCACTGACAGTCATTAGGTTTACCAAGTAGGGATGCGTTGAAGATAAAAGCCTGACTGGATAAAAGAGACGTTTCAGACAGTATAAGAAGCTTGTGGGAGAGGTTTTGCAGTAAATGTAAAGAGATGGGGTGGTGGCTGTAAGGAAAGTTGTTTTTGTTTGTTTTTTTTAATGGGAAAATTAACAAGTGTTTGTGTATTGGTAGGATTGATTCAGTAAAGAGGAAAATGCTGATGCCGGAGAAAGTGGGAGAATTGTTGAAGCAATGTTTATAAGTGAGAGGCGAGGGGATTTAGGGAATGAAGGGCGGGTGGGCAGCTGGACTTGGCCAGGAACATAGACAGCACGTGCCCGATAGCAGAATGTGGACGGTGTAGCCCCGGGCTCGATGTGTGGTGTCTGCTGGTGGGAAGTTCCCTCCTAATACCTTCACATTGTCAGTGAAGTAGGAAGCTTGGTCATCAGCTGAGAGTGAGGATGGAGAAGTGTAGGAGGTTTGAGGAGATGGGAGAAAGTGTGACATTGTTGTCTAAGGGAGTGGAAAGCAAAGGGACTGGGGAAGTGTAGCCTGATTCCTGGGCTGCTTTGGGGGCCAATGTAGGTTAGAGATCATACATTTCAAGTGAGAATTGTTTGTATTATTTTCTTGTTTGCTTTTTGGTTGTAGGGTGGTGGAGAGTTATATTTTAGAAGAGGTGTGATCATGCAGGTGAATACCCAAAGTGGGTGAGGGGCATGGGAGTCAACGGTATATGCAGCCAGAGTAACTGTAGTGAACCATGATTTAAGCTGCACAAGAAGGGCGTAAGGCTATACGGTTTTGAGGGACATAGAAAATCTGTATGGATCAGTGAATTGTAGGGCCCTGGAGGCTGTACACATTGGTGGAGTTAGGGTGTTAGAGGAGTGAGCTAGAAGGATAGGATGTGGCAGTCAGAAGAAAGTGGAATTCTTGCCTCTTCCCCAAACGTTTTATTATAACAGCTTCCCAAACAGAAATTTGAAAGAATAGTGTGATGAACACCTGAATAGTCACCTAGATATGACCACTGTTAACATTTTACCACTTGTGTATATGTATTTTGCTGGACCATTTGAAGCTAATTGGAGAAATAATGGCATCTTACCCTTTAGTACTTTAGCATTTTATTAAATGGCATTGGCTTTTTGAATAGACCAGGCTAATTATTTTGTAGAATGCCCCACATTCTGGCTTGGAGGGCTTCGAAATTGAGATCTTTGCAGTTACTGATAATTGCAGATATTGATAATGACTAGTTCTAGAGTTTGCCCCTTGGCATGCATGACTGAGGTAGGATGGAGTAGGGCAGGAAACAGAAGCTAAGGCAAGGGGGGACATGGTGGATGAGTCATGGACATGAGACGCAGAGCTGGGGCAGGGGTGGTTAGGGAGGAGAGAGATTTATTGGAAGTGGTGACGGGGAGCAAGGAAGACCTCTACCCTACCCCTAAACCTAGGGATGTGAGTTCTGAGGGTGAGAAACTTCTGTCTCTGGAAGTGGGCTGTGGTGAACCATCTTCTCGGTGGGGAGCTAGGGCTCAAGGTGAGAGCAAGATGGTAAGGGGTGTGTTCACAGGAGAGGTTGAGATAAAGGGGTTTTGCTGATGTTGAGTTCCTGCCCTCTTCTTTGGCTAATGTGGTAACAATCACAGAAAACTGTTTCATTTTATGTTGTCTGTTAGGCCCTCACTTGAAGAATGAATATATGGTTGACCTTTGAACCATATAAAACCATGTGTTTGAACTGTGTGGGTCCACTTGTATGCATATTTTTTCAATAAATACAGTACAGTACTGTAAATATATTTTCCCTTCCTTAAGATTTTAATAACATTTTCTTTGCTGTACCTGACTTTATTGTAAGAATACAGTATAGGGCGCCTGGGTGGCTCAGTTGGTTAAGCGACTGCCTTCGGCTCAGGTCATGATCCTGGAGTCCCGGGATCGAGTCCCGCATCAGGCTCCCTGCTCTGCAGGGAGTCTGCTCCTCCCTCTGACCCTCCCCCCTCTCATGTGCTCGCTCTCTCATTCTCTCTCTCTCAAATAAATAAAATCTTAAAAAAAAAAAAAGAATACAGTATATAATACATAGGACATACAAAATATGTGTTAATCTGCTGCTTATGTTGTCAGGAAGGCTTCCAGCCAACACAGTAGGCTGTTAGTAGTCACATTTTGGGGGAGTCAAAAGTTACACATGGATTTTCAAGTGCGTGGGGGGGGGTGTCACTGCCGCTAACCCCCCCGCCCAGTGTTGTTCAGGGTCAGCTGTATTTCTAAAGGTGGGGTGTGTGTATAGTTCATTCCTAAATAATAGCTTGTTCCCTCTGACCTGTAGTGATAAATGAAAACAACATAAATGAACAAACTTAACCCATTTTCATTGCAAACTGAGTTTTAGTTTCATTCATTGTATTAATGTGTAGACAACACTAATTTTATATTCAAAATTATCTCATACTATAGAATTCATCATTTCGATTACCAAAGAGTCAAATTTCTTCAGGAACCCAGGTAGAAAAATACAAGAAAAATCATTTGCCGGCACAAGGTAAGAAATTACCTTTATAAAATACTTAAGGAATTTAAAGAATAGAGAATTTACACCCAATTTAAGAAATAAAACATTGTAAATATCATTAAAGCCCTTGTGTATTCTACTCCCCTACCTATTTCCACCCTGACAACATTCCTTTGCTTGTTTTTCATTCTTTTACTACATTGTGTCCATAAATCAATATAGTATTGTTTCTGTGTATCCCTCTACAATTTGTTTTTTTCTCTCAATATTTTGATACTCCCATTAATACATATAAACTCTAGTTTATTGATTTTAATAGTTACAGATTCCATGTATATTTGTTACAGTTGAGTTTTCCTGTTGATGGAGTTCATGCTTTTCCCCAGTTTGTCAATAGAATGAATAGGGCTGCAGAACTTATCTGTCCTGTGAGTTTCTCTAAGACACGTACCAAGAGTAGGATGCTGGGTCATACCAGGCTTGTGCTGTAGGTTTTCCCTTTGTTCTGCAAAGTGGTTTTGCCATTTTTTTTACCATCAGCAGAATATGCTTTTGTGCTTACCCTTCACCTGGTCAGACTGAAGTTGTGGCCAGTCAGATGGGTGTGAAATGGTGGGTTAGTGTAATTTTAATATGCATTTCCCTGATTACTGATAAGGTTGTGTGAGCATCTCTTTGTATATTTAGTGGGCATTTGGGTTTCCTCTTTTGTGAATTGCCTGTTCATTTCTTTGGCCTGTTTAAAACTTTATAGGGAGGGGAGGTTTCTCCTTATTGAAGTTCTTCTTCATACTAATCCTTTCTCAGTTACAAGCACTGCTAATATTTTCTCCCAGTTCTGGGTTTAGCTTTTCGGTTTGTGTTTTTTATGTGCATGTTTTCCTTTTTTTTTAAGATTTATTTATTTATTTTAGAGAGAGAGAGTACGCAATGGGGGAGGGGCAGAAGGAGAGAGGAGGGGAGGCAGACTCCCTGCTGAGCAGGGAGCCCCTTGTGGGACTCCATCTCAAGACCCTGAGATCATGACCTGAGCAGAAACCAAGAGTCAGAGGCTTAACCGTCTGAGCCACCTAGGTGCCCCTGTTTTTCCTTTTATTATTGAAATTATCAATCTTTTTTTTATGACTTTAAGAAATCTTTCTCAATCCTTAGGTCACAAATATACTGTTTTCTCTTACAAACTTTTGTTTTCACAACTGGGTTTTTACCTGGAATTTTTAGAAATTATTTTCATGAACTAAATTTAGAAAAGTGGATATAACATGCAGTTTGACAATTATAAAGGACATACTTAGATAACTACCAGCTAGATAAAGAAATAGAGTAGCAGCACCCCAGGGCTGTCCCCTCTGTGATCATATTACATTGTTTCTCTTTGTAGTTTCTACTCTCATAGGTGCAGCCCTAAAAAATGTTTTGTTTTCGAACTTTCTGAATAGTTATACTGTATGTGTTCCAATAGTTATACTGTATGTCTTCTTTTACTGTACATTGTTTTTGAGAGTCATATTGATCTGCAACTCTAGTTCACTAAAATTTTCAAAAACTGCAAGGCAGTTTGAATGTTTATGAATATATTACAGTTGACTATTCTGTTGATGATTAAATTTTTTTTTTTTTAAATTTGGGATGTTAAACAGTGATGCTATGAACATTCTTAAACATTTCTGGTATACACATTCATTTCTCCAAGGCACGTACTGGAATTACTGGGTAATCAGTAAGAATATCTTTAACACTCATAGATTTTGCCAAAACATTTTCCAAAATGATTTTACTGTCTAACCAGCAATGTAATGTAAGTGCTTGCATTGTTCCACACCTTGTTGATACTTGGTATTGTCAGACTTAAATTTTTGCCAGTCTGGTAGGGATGCAACACTATCTCATTATAGTTTTGAAATGGTTGAATACCTTTGCCTATATTTACTAGCTATTTAGACTCCCTCTTTTGAGAAAAATTGATCAGGTCTTTTACTCATTCTGTGCTGTTGTTTGTCTTTTTCTTAATTGGTTTATGGGGGCATTTCCTCTTCCCCCATCATAATCTTTTAACAGTTACACATTGCAGATATCTTCTTATAGTCTGTGGCCTGCCTTTTTACTCTTACCTTTTGATGAACCAAAACTCTTTATCTTTTTTATTGAAATGTATTCGATGTGTAACATTGTATAAATTTAAGATGTATGGTATGTTGATATATTTATATGTTATGATTGCCAATGTAGTGATAAATAGCACCTGTATTACATCACATAGTTGTATCTTTTTTTTTTTTTTGAATAACACATAGTTAAATCTTTTTAGTGGTTGGAGAATTTAAGATCTAGTTTCTTAGCAAATTTGTTGATTGTAATACAGTATTATCTATATTCACTATACTGTGCATTAGCTCTCTAGGACTTATTTACTACTTGTTACAAGTTTCTACCCTTAAACAACATCACCCCTTCTCCCCCAAACTCCCACCTCTTGGTATCCACCACTTCACTCTCTTTTTACAAAAAGTTAGGCCTCTTTGGATTTCACATATAAGTGAAATCATACAGTATTTGTCTTCCTCTGTCTGACTTACCTCACTTAGCATAATGTCCTCAAAGTCCATCCATGTTACTGCAAATTATGTCCTTCTCTCTCATGGCAAAATAATATTCCATTGTGTATATATATCACCTAATCTTTATCCATTCATATGCTGATGGGCACTTAGGTTGTTTCCATATCTTGGCTATTGTGAGTAATGCTGCAGTAAACATGGGCTTCAATATCCCTGTTTTCATTTCCTTTGGGTGTGTACTCCGAGGTGGCATAGCTGGATCATATGGTAGGTCTATTTTTAATTTTTTGAGGAACCTGCATATTGTTTTCTATAGTGGATGAACCAGTTTAACATGCCCACCAACGGTGCACAAGGATTTCCTTTTCTCCACATCCTTGCGAATACTTATCTCCTGTCTTCTTGATGATAGCCTTTCTGGCAGCTGCGAAGTGGTATCTTGTGGTTTTGATTTGCATTTCCTGGATAATTAGTGATGTTGAGCATCTTTTCATGTACTGTTGGCCATTTGGATGTCTTCTTTGGAAAAATGTCTATTGAGTTCCTTTGCCCATTTTTCAGTCGTATTTTTTTTTTTTGTTACTGAGTTACAGGAGTTCTTTCTGTATTTTGGATATTAATCCCTTATGTGATATATGGTCTGCAAAAGTTTTCCCATTCTGTAGGTTGCCTTTTCATTTTGTTGATTATTTCTTTTGCTGTACAGAAGCTTTTGAGTTTTGATTTGTTGATTTTTGCTTTTGTTGCTTGTGCTTTTGGTATCAAGAAATTATTGCCAAGACCAGTGTCATAGAGCTCCTTCCCTATGTTTTCTTCTAGACCAGAGCAATTAGGCCTGGATATTAATGAAATGCCCAGTTATTTTGTTAAGCAAAATTCTGTTTGTCTTCTTGGATGCCTCTATTATATCTACCCCACACCTAAGCCTCTAACTAAAGTCCTTGTGATTATCTCCAAAATACCTTTGGGTTCATCTGTTAGGTTAGTTGAACACCTGTCTCTTCTTCCAGATTGTAAACTCTCAAAAAATAGATATTGTCCTTGTCTGTCTTGGTCACACAGATTTGCGTGCCTATTAAATATTTGAATTTATATAATAAACTCCTACGAATTGGTGAAGAAAAATATTAAAAATTCCTTACTTAATGTGTAAAGGACAGTAGTTTACAAAGGGATATGAACTAAGGAAATGTTTGACCATAATATTAAGTAAACTTAAAACTTTCAATTAAATCTGAAAATTAACTCTTGACAATTATATTCTAACAGGTAATCCATCTCGAAGATCCAAGCCTGTGCCTCCTCGTGATTTAGGCAGTTCGGATAAGGGACAAGTAAATCTCTTTATATTTTTATATATTTAAGCATAGATTACTCAGGCTTAAAATTGCTTAGTTAACTGATTTAAGTTTCTAAACCATTTATAAAGGAGGTTTTTAAAAAGATTTTATTCATTTATTTAAGAGAGAGCTCTTGTGTGGGGGGAGGGACAGAGGGAGAGGGAGAGATTGAATCTCAAGCAGGCTCTGCGCTGAGCGCAGAGCCTGACGTGGGGCTCGATCTTACAACACTGAGATCATGACCTGAGCTGAAACCAAGAGTCGGATGCTTAACCGACTGACCCACCCAGGCACCCCTATAAAGGAGGTTTTTTTTTTACTTAACATTGTGAATGTTTTTTATATAACACCAACTTCTAGTCATCAAATCCTATAAGAGTAGAATCTGGCATTTGGAAATAAATGTAAGTTTTAGGTGTTTGAAATGTGATTACATGTTCTTTAGGACAGATAAAAAGAACGCATCTTCTCCTTGCAGACTGCCTCACCCAGGGAGGCCCCTGAACCAGTGGACTTCCCAGATCCTGAGTGTAAAAAGGACGACAAAAAGGAGGAAAAAGAAGAAATTCAGGGAGAAATCAGTCATCCTGATGGAAAGGTTAAAAAATTTTTTAAAAATAATGAATACTATAAGAAATTAATATAGGTTAAAGTAGAGTTGGAACACTTAGATTCTAAGTTAATTGATCTTTCAGACTGTAGAGGGGGCTTAAGAACTATAGTTCCTTGGAGTGTGACCTTAGCTTGAGCATTTGGACTCCTCTAAAAATGCTTGACACACACATGCGTTTAGTTGCCATTTCTAGTTTAGAGATACAGCAAATTACAAAGGAATTACACTTCCTTTGTTTAAACTCTGTTCTTCCTCTAAACATAGCTAAAAAGCCTTTGTCATCTTGGTACTTTTTAAAAGCCTCCATTCAATGCTTTACCCTTCCTGCAGCCTTTCTATCTCCAGCTCACAGTTTTACTTTCGTGCTTAGGAAAGGTTTTGAGCAGGATACTGCCTGGCTGGGTGTTCCAGCTAGAAGAAAGAATGAAAAGGGAAGGGACATAAATAGGTTTGTTAGCAGGGAGGGGATGAGGTAAGTTTTCCTCAGGTTTATAGAAAATTTACTTCTCCACAAAGCCTTATTTGATTTATTTTAATTGAAATTATAAGGCCAAAGTTCACTGCTAGTCTTGAGGAATGAGGGAAGGACAAGAATAACAAAGGAAGAAGTTGTAGACTTTTCTTGTACCAATTCTGCTTTCGTGTAACAAATCGTTGGTGGGAAAAGGTTTTCTTTAGAAGAATTCTGTGGATAAATGGAAAAGGAATGAGAAAATTTGAGTCATCACTGTGCAGTCTCTAATGAAATAAGGGATCTAGGCAGTAGTCATGAATAAGCACTGAACTCCTAGATGAGAGGTTGATGGGGCTTCATGGCAGATCTAACTGATGTGACCCAGTCGGTCTTGTGGTCATGAGGACAGTCGCATACTGCACTTCTGAATGTGTAGCCATAAGCAGCTCTCAGCAATTCGTAGAAAGTATTCTTGTTAGAGTAATTCAACCAGACTTTATTCACACCTCTAGATGTAACTACTAGTTTTTCCCAGGAAGTATAGGGGGTACGAGAACATGTTCAATGGCACCATGATTGGAAAGCAGTCAACCAAATCCAGAATGTGGGAAATTTTACATGTTCAGTGACCTAGTTCTTTCAATAAGTAATCATCACTAAAAAGGGGGCAGGGAGGTGAATGTTAAAGGTTGAGATTTAAGGGACATGTCATCAAGTCTTGTGTGGACCTTGTTTTGATCCTGATTCAAATAAACTGTAAAAAGTCCATTTTGTGAATTCAGGGGAAACAACATAGAGGGTTACAATATGATGAAGGAATTACAGTTTGTTAGGGGCAGTAATGATTTGGTTATGTTAAAACCTATCCTTAAATCAATTGAAGTGTTTTACATATGAAGTGATACCTGCAGTTTACTTTAAAAAAAACTCAGTAAAAAAGAAATTGAAGATGACACAAATACAAAGATACTCCATGCTCATGGATTGGAAGAATTAATATTGTTACAATGTCCATACTACCCAAAGCTATCTACAGATTCAGTGCAATCCCTATCAAAATGGCAACAGCATTTTTCACAAAACTAGAATAATACTAAAATTTGTATGGGAATCACAAAAGACCGTGAATACCGAAAGCAATTACGAAAGAAATAATCCCAGACTTCGAGTTATATTACAAAGCTGTAATAATAGAACAGTATGGTACTGACACAAAAATAGACACATAGATCAATGGGACAGAATAGAGAGCCCATGCTTTTTTTTTTTTTTTTTTAAAGAGGACGGGTTTTTGTTGTTGTTGTTTTATTTTAAAGATTTTATTTATTTATTTGACACACAGAGAGAGACAGAGAGGGCAAGCACAAGCAGGGCGAGCAGCAGAGGGAGAGGGAGAAGCAGACTCCCCACCAAGCAAGGGAGCCCGATGTGGGGCTCAATCCCAGGATCCTGGGATCATGACCTGAGCTGAAGGCAGATGCTTAACCACCTGAGCCATCCAGGCGCCCCTAAATCCATGCTCTTATGGTCAATTAATCTATGACAAAGGAGGCAAGAATATACAATGGGAAAAAGACAGTCTCTTCAATAAATGGTATTAGAAAAACTGGACAGCTACCTGCAAAAGAATGAAACTGAACCACTTTCTTATACTATACACAAAAACAAACTCAAAATGGATTGAAGACCTAAATGTGAGACCTGAAACTATAAAAATATAAAAGAGCACAGGCAGTAACCTCTTTGACATCAGCTACAGCAACATTTTTCAAGATAGGTCTTCTAAGACAAGAGAAACAAAAGCAAAACTATTGGGACTACACCAAAATAAAAAGCTTTTGTGCATAGCAAAGGAAGCCATCAATAAAACAAAAAGGCAGCTTACTGAATGGGAGAAGATATTTGCAAATGACATCTCTGATAAGGTGTTAGTATCCAAAATATATGAAGAACTTAAACGACTCAACACCCAAAAAACAATCCAATTAAGAAATGGGCAGAGGACTCCAACAGACATTTTTCCAAAGAAGACATACAGATGACCAACAGACACATGAAAAGATGCTCAACATCACTAATCAGGAAAATGCAAATCAAAGCCACAATGAGCTATCACATCACACCTGTCAGAATGGCTAAAATAAAAAAGACAAGAAATAACAAGAGTTAGTGAGAATGTGGGGGAAAAGGAACACTGTACACTGTTGATGGGAATGCAAACTGGTGCAGCCACTCTGGAAAAACAGTATGGAGGTTCCTCTAAAAGTTAAAATAGAAATACCATGATTCAATAATTCTACTCCTGGGTATTTACCCAAAGGAAACAAAAACACTAATTCAGAAAGATATATGTGCCCTTATGTTTGTTGCAACATTATTTACAATAGTCAAGGTATGGAAGCAACCTAAGTGTACACTGATAGACAAAGGGGGTAAGGAAGATGTGTGTACACACACACACTGGAATATTACACAGCCATAAAAAAGGATGAGATCTTGCCATTTGTTACAACATGGATATACTTAGATGGTATTATGCTAACAGAAGTAAGTCAGACTAAGTACCATATGATTTCACGTGGAATCTCAAAAAATCAAATGAATAAACCAAAAGCAGAATCAGACCTATAAATACAGAGAGCAAAGTAATGGTTGCCATGGGGGGAGGTGGGGGTATGGACAAAATGGGTCAAGGGGAGTGGGAGATACAGGTTTTTAGTTATGGAATAAGTCATGGGGATCAAAGGTGCAGCATAGGGAATATGGTCAATGATACCATAATAGCATTTTCTGGTGACAGATGGTAGCTACACTTGTGGTGAGCACAGCATAACATATAGACTTGTAAAATCACTGTTGTACACCTGAAACAAATATTGTGTGTCAACTTAATAAAAAGAAAACTCAGCAAAAAATGAGTTTGTTTTGGGGGAATAGGTGACATAAGAATGGTGATGTGTTGATACTTGGAGACAATATTTTTGAGACAATGTTTTTGCCTTTAATTATGAAAGATTTCAAAGGTAATTTGGAGGAGAATTAGGGATATTTTTGTCATGTGGTATCAGGAGGAAATGTCTCCTATTGATAATCTTGTTTCTCTTTTTTTGTAGATAGAAAAGGTTTATAAGAATGGGTGCCATGTTATATTGTTTCCAAATGGAACTCGGAAAGAAGTGAGTGCAGATGGGAAGATTGTCACCATCACTTTCTTTAATGGTGATGTGAAGCAGGTCATGCCAGATGAGAGAGTGGTAAGTTTCCCTAGCATTGTTTTTCTCCATGGCTTAAACATCTCTAGAGAAAACACATACTGACTTTGTGTCTTTACAGATCTACTACTATGCATCTGCCCAGACTACTCACACTACTTATCCAGAAGGATTAGAAATCTTACATTTCTCAAGTGGACAAATAGGTAAAAACTTGCTCTGCCCTCTCCTAATTTAATACTTTCCTTTCTTTAAAAATAAAATACTTACAGTAACCTTTTTTAAACAGAGAAACATTTCCCAGATGGGAGAAAAGAAATCACATTTCCTGACCAGACAATCAAAAACCTATTTCCTGATGGACAAGAAGAAAGCATTTTTCCAGATGGTACAATTGTAAGAGTACAAAGGTATGTTATATGTTAAATTTGCTTCTAGATTTGCCTATTTTCAACTTGTATTTCCAAGTGAATTTTTAAAATCTTAAAATATTTATATAAGTCATTCAGAATTTCAGTAAGTTTAGTAGTGAGTACAGATACACACTTTGAGAGCAGGTGAAAAGAGTTCAGCATTTTGGAGTTTAGAACTTAGAACATATAGGTTCTAATACATAGTCTGTAGCCTAGAAACCTAAAGGGAGTCTCTACAGTACTTCACAAAAAGGGAATGGCAAGTATTTGTACAGAAATAAATTTGGTGGGGCGCCTGGGTGGCTCAGTCAGTTAAGCGTCTGCCTTTGGCTCAGTTCATGATGCCAGGGTCCCTGGGATGGAGCCCCGCGTCAGGCTCCCTGCTCAGCGTGGAGCCTGCTTCTCCCTCTCCCTCTGCCCCTTCCCACTGCTCATGCTCTCTCTATTGCTCTCTCTCTCAAATAAATAAAATCTTAAAAAAAAAAATTTGGTGAAATTTGAAAACCGTGAATAAGACACAAAGAAGGAAAGCCGCCCTATCAGTTTTTAAAGAACAATGACGAACAATGATAGCAATATCTGAATTAGACTGTGTCTCTTCTCTTATATTTTGATTTGTTGGATCTCCCTGTCCCTTCCTGATTAGTATTTTATTCCTCTGGCCTCCCTCATTTCTTTAAAATAGCAACTTCTTTATCCTTCTGAGTGTTATATTTCTTGAAGTTAGAGACTTCTTCTTAGTGACTTCTTCAATCCACAATACAGAGCTTCTTGTAGTCACCATTTTAATTAAAACCATGAAAGTTTGTCAGGTCCACTGTCCTACTTAGTTTGCACCCTCCTCTCCTAGGTGTGCATGCATTTAACTAACTTGAGTTGTGTGTTAGAAAGTTAGCAAAAAAAAAAAAAAAAGTGGTAAAAATACTGATTCAAGTAATGTACGAACTTCTTATAGTCATGGTAGTATTTTCCCTTAACATGGTTTGAAACTTTTCTCTGGTGCTCAAAAAATAAATACCAATCTCTCCTAAAACTTGAGGAAAATCTTATATGTACATTATACTTTGAGCAATTTCAGAAAATTTTCCATCTTTTTTTAACTGTTTGAAATTTTTTTTATAATAAAAAGTAGAGAAAATGATATGAAAAACTCCATGTACCCATCTGTCCATCTTCAACAAGTATTAACTAATGGCCAGTCTTTTTTCATCTACATTCAAGCAAATCCCAGATATCAGATCATTCAGAATTATTTTGGCATTTTTTATTTATAGCGGTGATTCTTCAACTTAACTGTGCATTAAAACCACCTGGAAGGGGCATCTGGGTGGCTCAGTCGTTGGGCGTCTGCCTTCGGCTCAGGTCATGATCCCAGGGTCCCGGGATCGAGCCCTGTATCGGGCTCCCTGCTTGGTAGGGAGCCTCCTTCTCCCTCTCCCACTCTCCCTGCTTTCTCTGTCAAATAAATAAATAAAATCTTTAAAAAAAAAAAACAAAACCACTTGGAAGAATTGTTCATTTGGAGATTGCTGGACCCCACGCCAATAATTTGCATTTCTAATAATGTCTTGGGAGATGCTGTCATCCCTGGTCCTGGGGCTGCACTTGATAAAACAGTGGCTCTCAAAATGGCTTTTAGTTCTAACACTTATGTGGCACAAAGCCATTACATTCACATAAAATTTGAGAAATAACCAAAATAGAAAAAACCCCCACTGTGTTGAGAAGTGGTGATTCACAGTCTATAGCCTAGCTTTGTGTTTCTAATGGCACATTATAGATAGATGTAGGGGTTCAGTTTGAATGTCCTGCACACACATCAAGCAGTCCACTTGGGATTAGCAGCTTCTTTGTTCCACTGCTTCAGAATAGGTCTTAAGTCTGATTTATGGCCCTTCCCAGGGATATAAACCTCTTCTCCAACCTGATAAAGAGCAAGCACTCAGACTTGCTTAAAACATAGTGAAAAGAATAAAGGTCAAAACTGAAAGCCATATATTTTTTTTAAAGACTTTATTTGAGAGAGTGAGAGAAAGAGAGTGAGCGCACACGCACAAGTGGGGAGCGGCAGGCAGAGGGAGAAGCAGGCTCCCCACTGAGCAAGGAGCCCAATGTGGGACTTGATCCCAGGACCCTGGCATCATGACCTGAGCTGAAGGCAGCCGCTTAACCGACTGAGTCACCCAGGCGCCCCTGAAAGCCATATTTTAATACAATGCCCAATTTTTCTTAGAGGCGGAATACATGTGAAGTTAAAAAACCTAAGTATTTTGTAGTGAAAAAATTTATTAAAAACTTTTCATGGGCACGTTTAAGTGCTAATCTGATCAGTGGAGCTATCAGCCTGAAGCAGAAACAGCGTGGAAAGAATTTGCAAAGAAGGTATTGTGCAAGGAGAGGACCAATGGAGGTTTTAGGAAAGAACTGCCAGACAAAAGGCCATTTTTAGATCATTTTCCTGTTATATAATATTTTAAAGAAATTAAATTTTATTTACAGAGATGGCAACAAAATCATAGAGTTTAATAATGGCCAAAGAGAACTACACACTGCCCAGTTCAAGAGACGGGAATATCCAGATGGCACTGTTAAAACTGTATATACAAATGGTCATCAAGAAACAAAATATACATCCGGTCGAATAAGGGTTAAAGACAAGGATGGTAATGTTCTAATGGATACAAAATTGTAATGATCCTGTGCATGACTAATCATGAAATAACACTAACTTGATTTTCTTGTTAAAAAATGTACATTTCTTGTGGTTTCTGTGGTTTAATTTATACATACTGTGTGTGTTGTGTATATATATAAATGGAAAAGATTGTTTGGATTGTAAAATAAAATGCCATAGCTTTTTATATTCTTTGAAATGTACAAGAACAGCTTTCATTTTTAGTTCACCTTTCTACAGTTAAATGCATGACTAAGGAAAGCATTGTTTGTTATAAACTGTATAGACTGCAAAAATAATGAGGCACTTTTATTGAAGATGGTTATAAAAAGTACAAGAAATACAATAGCACAGATTTGCCACGAGCACGTCAGCCATTAAACAAGAACTTGCACAGAAAGTTTACTTGAAGTAAGAGAATGTCTCCAGTCAAAATATACTGTGTTCAGTCAGTACTAAGATTAAAGCATTTTATCTACGAAAGAGGTTCTTTAATTGTAATAGAATGGGAAGTTAGAACTGAATGAATACAGATAGGTCAAACACCAAAATAGGTAGAAGAATTCATTCTGTGAGTACAGATAATCATAGTGAGGAGAAAACATTTTTTGTGATGGTATATAGTAACTGGTTAAAATGGGAGACTTGAGAATGGAAGGGGTGGGAAAAATAACTAGAGCTGGTATTAAATGATCAACTACAGGTACCTTGACGTTATAACCTATAAAACTGTAGGCTGACAGAAGCAAGATGTCCTTGAAGGAAGGGCAAGTCATCTACATATCAATTTACATAATAATTACATAAGTATAGTCACATAAGTGCAATATACAGTAATATTGGCAATGATTCCCATTTTTAAAAACAGCTAAATGTATCAATTCTAGGTGATTTAAGAACTGAATATGAAAGAAGTTGCAAACTTCTCAAATTAGGAGTTATATATATTACTTCAGGATAGAGAAAGATTTTTATTTATTT